ATAATGCGGTGTCAATGATGTTAAGTAATGGCAAACCCCTAGAGGTAACAAATGCACATATTTATCTGGGGACAATCATCAATGAAGATGGCAAAATAGACCAGAAGATATTTTGATTACTAAATCGGGTGATGAAGGTCAATGGAATATATTACTAGATAGCCGAAACCCAAACAATTATAGGCAAACGGGAAGTAAGCAGAAAGGCCAAACTCATGATAAATAAGGCGGTGTTCCTCCCAGTACTTCTGTATGGATCTGACAACACTCGATAAGCAAGTAGGCAGGATCACAGCAGTGGAAATGAGATTCCTCCGAAGAATAGCTGGCAAAACTACGTGGGACTGTGTCAGAAATGATGGAATTCGTGAGGAATCGGAGGTGACATCAATCTGTGGCATCCTCGATGAGAAACAGTTGAAATGTTTGGGCATATCTACAGAATGGACGACACCCAAAAGGCCAGGTGGTTAATGGAAGCTAGACTGAAAGGCAGAAGACCTCGTGGCAGGCCTAGACATAGTTGTCATGATTAAATTGAAAAACTGGGCATAGCAAGAAGACGCAATTTACCACAGATGAGAAGACTAACCAGGGACAGAGAACAGTGGGCGAGATGGGCTGGAACTGCAGCTTCACGCTTAACGGCACAAAGGAGCTAGAAAAAGAAAAAGAATAAGTTCACGAACCAATACATTATAGAATAGAATAGAATAGAAAATAGAACTTTATTAGGGGACTAAGTCCCCTTAGAATAACAAAGTTGAATTAATACCAAATTAAATACAAATCTGGCCAAAAACTAACTTATAAAAATTAAACATTATATACATTATTTAAAACGTAGTATGTAACCACTAAGAAATAAACAAAAAAAGATATATATATATATATATATATATATATATATATATATATATATAAACTTAACTATTTAATTGGGAATAAGGTCACTTATTAATTATTTAATAAGCTATTGAATGTTTATTTCTTCTATGTTTATTGACGTTTCGATCCCGGTATTTTCTTTTTATAAGTCAACGATGGGATCCTCTTCAAAGCTAGAATTTTAGAACTTAAAAAGTAGTGTAATAATATAAGTAGTGTAAAACTTCAAATTTTGAGGAGAAGTTAACTTTTTTTCTCGATAAATAACATATTTTGAAAATAATAAACTAAAAAAAACGAACCAGTTTAAACTAAGTTACAGTGTATTAATTTTTTTTAAGCTGCTTTTAATGACCGTAATGGGTAAATTTCAAATTTTTTTTTGTGAATTTCGACTTTATATATATATATATATATATATATATATATATATATATATATATATATATATATATATATATATATATATATATTTAATATATATATATTTATATATATAGTATTTTAATTTAGGTTTTGGTTAATAGTTGACGAAATTTCATTAAAAAAAGCTGACACAACTTCCTGGCCACCCTCGATCGCAATAGTCATCGTCATCGTCATACCATCTCACTAAACTTTATTTCTTCTTTAAGTCATTTATCAAATTCTGTAATAGTTTATTTTTAACTATTTCTTTAAGTAATTAGTTAGTGTGAAAAAGTTAATTAGTTAATTGTGAATGAACTAAATATTATTTCTTTTAATATTTACAAAGAAAAACAAATTCAAATAAATAAATTTTAATCCATCAGCTTGAGTGATTTAAATAACACTACAATATTATTTTTTGATATATTATTTTTAAAGGAAAAGACAAAATAAATATCAAATACAAAACATCAGCACTTCAAAGGTATTAGTAATCAAACTTATAAGTTATGACCCTTTTAGAGTAATTGTATTATAATTACATTAATTGGATAATACTGATATAATTGTAAAGTAAATTATAGTAGAGTAAACCAATCAACAAATCTCTGATTTCATCCTCACATTCTTTCCAAGCATATCCTTTTTGAATTTTCTGAAAATAGATCAAATCGGGAGGAAGTGGAAATGTTGTGGTGCTCCGAGGTAACGCGAGAAACAGTTGGCGCTGCCTTCCAAGAGACTCCAGAGTTCCCTGTTGATATTTTGTGTTTAAGCTCGCCTTTATCACCGTACTCACCATTTGCAAGATTTTTTCATCGCTTATTTAGGTCACCTGGTTTGCTCCAAATTTTAATGTTTTAAACCATGACTGAAATGCGACCTCTCCAGTCTTTCATGTAATTTCTCTCTCCCCTCCCCATTCCTCCTCTCCGACATTTCTACTGTTAACCTAATGGTTTTTTAATTTTATTATCATAATTTGTTTCGGTGTAAAACGATTAATTATATCAGATAACAAAATAAAAGGTACTTCAGTGGAAGAAATTTTGAAAATTCAGCTATTTCAATGAGAATAATACCTGGCTGATCAGGACCGGAATTACATAAAGGCAAATGAGGCAATTGATCCGTGCGGCATGTATTTGGAGGGTGGCAAATTTTGAGCTTTTTTTTTTTAAGCTTATGTTAAAAGTATTTCTTTCACCTTTTGATTGTTTTTACCTTAATTTAGTAAATTACGCGACTTAATATTACCTGATGACACTAGCGGATCCAGAATTTAATTTTGGGGGGGAGGGGCTTCAGCCCGAAACTTTTTTTTTTCATAAAAATAACGATAGTTACTTTGGAAAAACAGAAAGAAACTAACTAACTATATGAAATGGTGTTTAAGTGATTCCTTAAGTGATTTTAAATGTAATTACACGAACAATAATACTTTAAGAGGTATTTTTAAAAAAAAATTTCCCATAAAACATGGTTATATTTTTCCATTTTGGGGGGGCTTCAGCCCGAAAGCCCTCCCCCCCCCGTAGATCCGCCCGTGCCTGATGATGACCTTTATTTCGAAATATATTACCTAAACTACTGTTACAACATCTTTTTGAGAGGGATGCGGGAGATGAAAGAAGAAGCAGAAAAAATGAAACTTCCCTCCCCCTTGCAAACATCTTGGTTATAAAAAAATTAAAGGAACTTTAGAGGAACCTAATATTGAAAATTAAACATTTAAGTCCTGTTAGAGAATATTAATCAGAATAAAACCTACATTTTATCTAAACCTGCTTGATTTTACACTGATATACTGAATTTAATTAAAATCGTTTAAGCCATTTTCGAGAAAATTGAGAAAAAATGTTTTTAGCCCATTATATAAAGTGTCACTTCTGGTAAGCCGATTTTGACGGAAAATTTGCTGCAACATCCTAAGCATATGAAAACCTTAAGTATGCAATTTCACTTTCGTACGACTTTTCGTTTTTGAGCTAGACTGCTAACACACTCACACAGACCATTTAGCGGGACGTGGTTATTTCGATTCAGAGTACCGAAAAACATGTAAGTCAGTTGAAAATTTGTCTAAACTGAGATTAGAAAATTTTCCCTTTCAATAATTTCATATATAGGTAAGTGAAAGTAAAACATCTGGTGTGTCCACTCACACGACTTTCCTACCTATTTCAGAAAAAATTGTGTATTTTTACAAAAGTTCATGAAGAAACAAAAAATATTGAACTAGATTTATTTTCCTGAAAATTGATCAAAGAAAAGATTTGAGTACGATTTATTTCATAAATTAAAGCAATGTAAACCGGCTTAAGGTAGATCAGTGTAAAAATTTCAATACTCTCTAATATTGCTGATCAATACTTTTTGCCATAGCTTAGTATTGTCAAACAATAATTTCTGTTAAAAGTAGAGGAAATAGTGAAGCTTGTGTAATGCCGGCCACAGATTTCCTTACTTCCACTTAGTCATTTTTTTCTCTCATTCACCCCTTTCTGACACCAGGATATGAACCCGTAATCTTACATTGGAAAGTGAATAGCTGTAACTTCATTATTAGTTGTCCAAAATGAACGATTTTTATATAGTTTTGTAGGAAATTTCATTACCTTTAAAAAAAACGTAAAGGCGTTTGTGTTTTTGACCCGATTGCAATACTTTCCTTACCTAGTGTAGGTAGGAAAGTAAAAAACACATGACTTAAAGTTGATATAACTAGTAAAATAATAAATCAAAATAGAGTCGTTTCTGAGAAATTTTTAATAATATAGACTATCTATTATGCAAATTTCCTCAATCGATATAACTAACTTTTTTTTTTTTTTGACACAAGCAGACCATTTTGCAAAAATAATTTTTTTAGGAACCTCGAGAAGAGAATTTAGAGTAAACTTGGATTCGAAATTTTCTTGATCTCAAGATCTTCTCCTACTACATAATTCGTATATGTGAATGTAAGACTACTGGAGACAGGTGAGCATGTATGCATGACCTGCACTGCATTGAATGGATCAAGCGCCACAATGATGAGAACCACGAGAATTCATGTCCTCACCGAGTTGAATTTTCCTCGGTTGGTGAATGAGGAGAACTTTCCAAGCTGCAAGGAATTCATTTATGGTTGGAGGACAGTGGTGGGTCCAGCCCGTTTCAACATTGGAGCACGAAGAAGAGGAACAGCGAATAGGATTAGCCACACTACCTCGGAGAAGAAAAATAATGTGTACGACGTAATATGTTGAAATTGCAAACACCCGTATTGCCCATATGGCAAGGTAAGATAAAATGAAAACAAGTGAATGTAAGATATGGGAGCAGAAAGTTTTAATTAATTTCTGAAGTTATGACCATGTTGTAGCTCATCATAAAGGCTTAAACTATGAGATGAATAAGCGTTTAATTCATTGAATTGATAGAAATGTTAATAAAACTTGGATTAATTATTATTATTTTGGTCTTTTTTAGAAATGTCTGTATTGTTTATATCTCATCTCGGATTTTTTTTAATGTCTTTTTTTCAATTTATACCTTTTGACCACTCTCTTGATACATTTTTTGTCAACTACAAGACATCGGAGTCTCTGGATCTTCAGCGACGGGCGGAGATGCGAACGGAGGAAGAGGGTCGCCGCAAGAACAAGATGGCGGTAGGGAGAGGAGGGAGGGAGGGAGATGACTCCAGTCTGTGTCCTGCTGGCGTTCCGTCAAGTTGCTACCTCACTCTCTCGTTATTGTTATCCCGAAGTGTTATCCCCTCTTCAATTTTCATTTATAGTTTTTGTTTTTCTCTATTTATTATTTTATTTAATTATATCAAGTGCGTGTGTGTTTTATCTGTGTTGTTTCGACTAGCATCGTTGCAGGACGGCTGGGCGACAATGTTAACAGATCTTCAGTGACACTTCAAAATGGATATCGAGATTATATGTACGTAGTATATATTTTATTTTTTTATTTTTTTTATTTTACTTTAATAATTTTGTTTCTTTTTATTTTATTTGTCTTGAATCATTAAGTTCATTTCACTGTTTTGTTTTTCAACACTCCTTTGAAGGATTATAAGTATTGCTTAAAATATGAGCGACTGTTCAACAATATTATGTCTTTGTTTACTTTTGTTTAAAACGTTGCTTATTGAACAATGTAATCTTCGGTTTCTGGAAGTATTCCAGTAAATATTTCGTTACATTTGAAACAACTGATTATTTAATTACATTTTGTATAAACATTGGATATTATTTGTAAAGTTGATATTTATGTAGAACATCATTGTTAAACACAAGGTAAACATATCAAAGAACATTGAAGTCTCCGAGTTAAATAGAGATTAAAAATTTGTTCCCGGCTGTTTTAAACGTACTGTTAAATAAAATGTAGATTTTTATTCAATTTCAACTCTTCCGTAATATTACGTTCGTTTAAAGATAAAGCGGAGTTGTAATTAGAATCGAAATGTTGGGAAATTTTTATTAAATCTTAGTTTATTAATTCGTTAATCTTATGGGCTTCAAAAGAAAACTCGTAAGAGAGGTGAATAGGATATAAGGATTTTTTTTATCATTTATAAACGGTAAAATGATTTATAAAAGAAATAAACTTATTATTTTTTTTTTTTAATCCTACAATTATTTTGTTCAATTATATTTTTATCTTACTTAATCAATAGGTATATTCATTCTTAATCAGGAATTATATTAATTTTCTTTTTTTAGAATAATAATAATCATTGACAAGTAAAATAATAAACTGAACTATTAAGGAAATTATATATTTTCTGCATTCACGCCTTATGATTGTTTTAACATGTGCATGAGCGATAGCGATTTGTTTATCTTTTCTTAAATTAAGTTTTCTGACCGCAGAGCCTGATTTTTATTTCATTACAGCTTCCTTTTTTCGAACCGTATTCCTATTAATAGCTGTTGTGGTGGGTTGAATCAGTAGTTTCACATAACTGACTCCTTGTACTGTTATTGTTACTGATGGATTTCATGGAATTCCACTGCAGGAGTAACATTCTGCCGTGCTGATAAGTTGAATGCTTCATCTATCGTCGATTGCTTATCTTTTGTATGGTTTTGTTATTATTTTAAAACAACTAGTCTATAATTATTTGGACTGTCATACAATTTTAAAACTCTAGAAGATGTGTCTTGTTTCCTTAAAACTCTTGTCTAGATTAAAAACTTTTTCTTATAAATATTAAAAACTTCTTGATATCATACTAAAGGATAAAGCTAAAAACTTGCAGATACTGGCCTGAAAACTGCAGTTGAAGACCAAACTTAATAAACTGTTATTTTAACGTTAGTTTGCTGAGATTGTTTCAATGCTTCGTACTACCATTTAAGTATTGGGTTTATATTTATCTATTATTAAATCATGTCCTCTTTATGATTTAATTATATTTTTAACCCTGTTATCATTTCTTCACTTCTTTAATTGCATAATTACACTTCATATAACAATTTTAAATTTGGTTTAGTATTATTATATTATCGGCGATACGGAATGAACAATTGAAATTCAGAATATTTATGTTTCTTACTGTTAAAAATAAATTAACTATCGTAACTTTATCTTAAAAAGAACTCATTTCTCAAATGTATTTTTAAATTGGATAATTTATATCATTATATACTATACTAATTATAAGTAATTTATTGATATTAAAATTCATAAATATTTTTATATGAAACTCCACAGACTTATACATAAAACGGTATTTAAAACATATCTTCTCGGATTTTCGTCAACCTTTTTGTATTTATTATGTTTTCATTTTCTTTAAAATTATTTAGGGAGGGGATGATGCAACAGCCCCATCTGCTTTCTTAGTGCGCTCATGCTTCTCCAAACGGTTTTTTCGCCATTCCCTCAGTTTTGAGCTCTCCTGCAATCTCCCTCCATATAAATTTCTCTTGTAATAGTAAGGAAATTACGCTGATGTTAAAGAAGTAATTTTTTGGGACTCATTTTTTTTCCCGCACACCTGCTGTTTGGAATAATTAAATTTGGAAGAAAATGGTCCCAAAACAAAACATGAGAAAGAAATTTAGTAGCTCCATTTATTTTAAAATTCAATTCTGTATCCTCTGATAAACATTTGTGAAACAACTAAATCACTTTTCAGCTGTTTTTCTAAAAAAAAAATGAAGTGGAACATACGATCACCATTTTTGTAGCGTCCCGATGCTCACGCATTTATTTTTATTCTTAGATTTACAATTATTATTATTTATTATTATATAGTTTTTAAATTTTATTTAACCATTATTATGTCCCATTAGTACACGTATTATACTGTTCATGCCTTCCTTTAACTTTGAAAAATATACTATGAAAATGCTATCCACATATATGTATATATATATATCGTATATATATGTAATATTTATGAACATTTATTAGATACGTTTTATTATAAATACCGAATTCAGAGTGCTAATTTTAAAAAAAATCTAGAACCTTCAAATTGAGGCTAATGATTTATTGAATGTTTAAGCCAGTTTATTGTAATTAATTTAAAAATATATATTTATAACGTATATAAGTTTAATTTAATTTATTATCTAATTCGTGTTTAATTCATTTTGAATAGTGAATTACTTGTTTTTTTTCCCCGTAACTTTCGTATGATGAATTATCATAAGAAATACTCACTAAGAAATATCATCTTGATTATTGCGGTTAATTTTCATCATTATTCAAAGATAGGAAACAGTTATCTATCCTAAACACGCCGAAGACGTACAAAAGCAAGTATGTCGGGGTTGAGTTGCCTTTAAAATCTTGCTAGCACAGCTGTGAGCCGAAACCGGATTGCCTTCAGGAATCCTGGCGATACGTGCTTTCCATTTCACTTGGGACAAAGACGGCTGGCTCTCTCGGCGCTTAAAAAAACATTTTCGTGCTGTCTGCTTCCACGGTTTCTAAGGGATAGTTTTGACGTTTTAGGCACATTAAAAGAATTTATAAAAATGTTGACCGAACAACTTCGTATTTATAATTTTTTTTTTAAATTATTAAGATTGATAATAAACCCACCATCATTCAGGGAGAGACTTGTTTATTCGTACATATCATGGACCCCCAATGGCTTCTCAGTTGATTATTAATTTGATAGGGGAAGAGTGAATGAGGGCCAGACAACTCGCTTGCATTTATATAGGTGCATACAGCAGCCATTGTTACGCCACTAATGTAAATATTTTAAACTTTCAGATAATCAGTAAAAGTGAATTCAAAACAGAACAATGTAGTTGGTAAATTTTAATTTCCTTGCCTACCATATGGTCGGTCTATCATGAACGCTAAAATGTATTGCAAGTATGTCTTAAATTGAGAAAATCAGATCATGAAATGAAATTTTAACTTTATTCTTAATCAATTTCGGTATGACTGGAATCTTTACTTTAATTTTTTTTTCTGTTATTTCGGAACTAGAACTTTTTCTCTTGCAACTTTTCCATTAAAGGTTTTACAGGTTTCTTAAATTTAAAAAAAAATAAATTAAAAGTTATGTTGATTTCGACGACTTTTATTCTTAGCTACTCGAAGACAAATTTAATGTGATTTTTTTTTTTTTTTAAGAATTTAAACATGAAAAGTTAAACTTGACCATAAATCTAGAACTTTATCACAAAAAAGTTCCTTAGAACAGCTTTTTCCTAATAAGCTGTTGAAAAGAACTTTAAAAAAAAATCCAAAAACATTTCAACTTCTGGATAAACCCAATTCATTTCCGTGTCAGACCATTTTCATTTTTAAGAATAATACCGTTTATTGAAGACAATCATCTCTCGGAAACTTTACAATCACTAGGTACACCTGCATGTTATGTGTTTCCTTATGCTCACATATTTACATATACTCGGGTTCAAGGACAGTGACGAATCAGTCTAGATCCAAAGATTATGGCTGCTCAATGTCAGCAGATGCATGAAGGCCAATATTTTTTCTCTGATACTTATCGTTCATTTAATATCATAATTTGATTTAAAATAAAAATTTAAAAATCATATATATATATATATATATATATATATATATATATATAATACCTGCTCTCAGAAAAAGACAGAAATACGAATGAGTTATATCGCCTATGGATACTATACTTTGACACGGTTCTGGTTAAAGATCTGAGGATTCGATTCTATTGTATAATATTTTGCCGGCTATGTTTTTATCTTTTATGCTCCATTATATCTCGGTACTCTAAAACTCTTGTCGGAATCTTATCACTGATTGTTACGGTGTAATATTTGGAGTGCATGAAATGAGGCAACGTTATGACAAAGAGGTTATTTATATCTGGCCAATAACTATTTCAGATCAAATACATTGCATCAATTATCAAATTATATATTAGTTTAACGTTGATTTAATCTATATTAAAGATTATTACAGGAAAAAAATTATGTTGATAATCGTTTCTTAGAAACTACTTCACTAAATATGCCTAACTTGCCTTTCCACGCGAGCTCAAACGAGGAGCTTTCGTGGGAAAGCACTCAAGTCTTTAATATTTTAGAAAATAAGGAAGAGTAAAAGACCATTTCTAAGCCCCCCTTTTGAACAATTATTTATTGAATGCCATAATAAATTCTTCCAAACACATAATAAATTTAAAAAACATGAAATATAGAAGGGTGAGTTTTAAGGACATTTTTGTATCGATTTCTGGATAGAAGTGCTTTAAAATAAATTATCCAAGAACTTATACAAGTCAAAACATATCAAGTTGATTAAAATAAGGTTCATTGATTTATTTTAATGAAAGGAACTAAAATCGACGTTAGTTTTGCGATTTATTTTCTTATAAAACCTGTTTCTCTCTCTTCGTAAGATGGGAGTTTGAACCTTTGTCCTTTGTTGTACTTTTCGTGGCATCAGATATGTCATTAGTGTGTTTATAAAGAACT